CTTACCATGGAGGCGAATGGGTTGGGGTGAGTTCTCCGCAGTACGCGGTAGGGCTAGCAGGGTTTCTAATCTGAGTCTTTGAACCCAGAAATTTCTCCCCATACCCTCCTTTCTTCACCATCTAGGTCTCCCAACCTGAACCCCATTCACTTAGATTCCGAATCCTCCAAGCATGGATTCTTGAGACCTTCACCCTAGGAGACTTTATTCAGGGAAATGCCTCAGGATTTTCATCTAGGATCTCTATAATGGAAACATCAACTCTGATCACTCTTTGACTATCCCCTAGCCTGGGAATCTCCCAGGCCCTGAACCAGCCCACTGCCACCCCCATTCCTAAGACTCGCTATTCCAAAGATCTCCAAATTATCCTTACTGGACTTTCATGCCCCTACTCCGAGCCCCTCCAATTGCTTTGAACTTGAGAGAGTTGGGACTAAGTGTAGGGAAGAGGCGCCACAGCGGGCCCCTCTAGGGTTTTGTGCACTACTTGATAGGCAGAGAGGAGGCGGAAAGGGCGGGAAGCCACAGCTTGAGAAATGGTCTGGAGGGGGCAGATAGCAGTGCAGTGCTGAATCCGCCTTAAGAATCCACACCTTGGGGCGAGCGAGGTGGCTCATGCCTGTAATCCTAGCACTCTCGGAGGCTGAGGCGGGAGGACTGCTTGAGTTCTAGACTAGCTAGAGCAAGAGCGAGACCCCCGTCTCTACTAAAAATAGAAAAACTAGTAGGGCGCCTGAGTTCCACTTACTGGGGAGGCTAAGGCAGGAGGATTACTGAACCCAGGAGTTTGAGGTTGCTGTGAGCAAGGCTGACAACGTGGCACTCTAGCCTAGGCAACAGTGAGACTCTCTTTTAAAAAGTCTGCACCTTCCCCAAACCCCATCCAGCTTAGCATACTGACTACCTACCTTTGCCCCTACTTGATCATCAGACCCCAGGGTTTTCCAGAGCTGAAGAATGACACATTCCTGCGAGCAGCCTGGGGAGAGGAAACAGACTACACTCCTGTTTGGTGCATGCGTCAGGCTGGCCGCTACTTACCAGGTTAGATTCAGGGCCTGGAAGTCTAAATAAAACTCTGGAGGGTGAGAAGTTTTCTAGGGGCAGAGGAGGACTCTGGAGAGCCTCCAGGCTGAGCCTTGTCTTCCCTCTCCTGTCTGCAGAATTTAGGGAAACCCGGGCTGCCCAGGACTTTTTCAGCACCTGTCGCTCTCCTGAGGCCTGCTGTGAACTGACTTTGCAGGTGAGGGGTCTACAAAAGAGGGAGGGATTTATGCCCTCCATTTGCCACCTTTGAACAACCTGTCTCACTTCCCTACAGCCACTGCGTCGCTTCCCTCTGGATGCTGCCATCATCTTCTCCGACATCCTTGTTGTACCCCAGGTACCCACTCAAACCTGATCTTGGAATGTGACCCACTCAAGGACCCCTTGGAAATCCTTCTACTAGTCCAGTCAGGGTCCACAATAAGCACATATCCTACCTGGATACAGGGAAAAACCAAGGGTGAAAGAAATAGAGTTTGGCTAAGTTTTATTCTCCTTTTTGTTTCTTCTTTGCATGGGCTGAACAGAACCTTTCCCTCCAAAGTGCCTTTCTGGGAACACTGGTGTTTTATGCCCTTCCAGGCATTGGGCATGGAGGTGACCATGGTACCTGGCAAAGGACCCAGCTTCCCAGAGCCATTAAGAGAGGAGCAGGATCTAGAGCGCCTACGGGATCCAGCAGTGGTGGCCTCTGAGTTGGATTATGTGTTCAAAGCCATCACCCTTACCCGACAACAACTGGATGGCCGTGTGCCACTGATTGGCTTTGCTGGTGCCCCGGTAAAGAGGGATAGGACAGAGACTGAAGTATGGGCAGATCACTCTGGCAAGTCTGACATAGACAAGGGAATTAAGTGTTAATTTGAGTTCTAGACCTGTGATGTCTTATCTTTCCTTAGTGGACCCTGATGACATACATGGTTGAGGGCAGTGGTTCAAACACCATGGCTCAGGCCAAACGCTGGCTCTATCAGAGACCTCAGGCCAGTCACCAGCTGCTTCACATCCTCACTGATGCTCTGGTCCCATATCTAGTAGGACAAGTGGCTGCTGGTGCCCAGGTGAGTTCTAAGGGAGAGACAAATAGGCTGTTTGGTCTGTAAGGACCAGAAGAAATATAATCTACACCTAAGAAGGTGGGGGGTCTTAAGAAGGTGGCAGGCCTGAAAGAAGCTTGGCCTCCAGTAGTCTGGCTGGAGGGGGGCTTAATTCTCTGAGTACTCAAATACCGAAGCCAGTGATGGATCTAGAGGAAAAGGCAAAACTGTTCACTGGAACTGGGTTTATAGGCTCAGGCAGTATCAGGAATTGAAGTCATTTGGAGAAAACAGACAGATTCTGTATGAGAGGCCTAAAGTACTTCCTTTCTGTGTTACATACTTCTCTTTACCGTACCCTAACTGTAGGCATTGCAGCTCTTTGAGTCCCATGCAGGGCATCTTGGTCCACAGCTCTTCACCCAGTTTGCACTGCCCTACATCCGTGATGTGGCCAAGCGAGTGAAGGCGGGGCTACAGGAGGCAGGCCTAGCACCAGTGCCCATGGTGAGGATTGGGGAGGGTTAAGGTGGTCCTGTGACGCTTTCAGGGTAAGTCCTACATGGCCATGGTCCTACGTGACCACTGGGGGGCGGTAGAAGTGCAGCTGAGAAAGATTAGTGGGAGAAGGAAGGCTCTCTGTAGCCTCAGAGATTTATATGCTCTTTCTTCCAGATTATCTTTGCTAAGGATGGGCATTTTGCCCTGGAAGAGCTGGCTCAGGCTGGCTATGAGGTGGTTGGGCTTGACTGGACAGTGGTTCCAAAGAAAGCACGGTGAGTGACAGAAGATTGGGCCCTAGAGGTTAGAGTGGAGAGGGGACAGCTGTTTTATGTGCAGTCACCAGAACATAGCACTGGCTTTGCTTCCAGGGAGCGTGTGGGGAAGATGGTGACCTTGCAGGGCAACCTGGACCCCTGTGCCCTGTATGCATCTAAGGTAACCTGGACCCCTGTGCCCTGTATGCATCTAAGGTAACAATAGCTAGGACCCCTATGTGTGTCTGGGAGTTTCTCTGCCTTCCTGTGGTTATGGATATAGTTATATTATGCACACATTTATATTGTGTCTTTCTTTATTCTACTCCATATGCATGATGTACGCCCTAGGAAGGTAGAAATTTTATTTCTTGTTCATTTGTGTTTTATTAGTGCCTGGCCCATACCAGGCATTGATAAATTTTGTCCAGTTAATGACTGAGTAACACTGAGTAGAAGCACGCCTAGGTATGTGTGTGTCACTGTTATGTATAGGGAGGACAGAGGCTTCCTGGCCTCCCTGTAGCCCATGCCCGGTTGGTCCCCCAGGAGGAGATTGGGCGGCTGGTGTGTCAGATGCTGGATGACTTTGGGACGCAACGTTACATTGCCAACCTGGGCCATGGAGTTTATCCTGACATGGACCCAGAACATGTGGGGGCCTTTGTGGATGCTGTGCATAGACACTCACGTTTGCTTCAAAAGAATTGAGCATACATCTTTATCTTCAAACACCACTAACAAAGATGATTGCTTATTTCCAGGAGAATAAAATGTGCAGAATTGGAATCTACTATGTGTTTTTGTTTGTGAAAGATTTGTGCCCTTATCCTTAGTTTTTTGTTTTTTTTTTGAGACAGAGCCTCAAGCTGTCCCCCTGGGTAGAGTGCTGTGG